ACAATCTTCAGCACTATTCAAGCTGAATGTTTTATCGGATGTTCGATAGTTGAGCTAACTGATGGACAACTCAACTCTTCTTTCCACTTCTGTCAATTCGATAACTACTATCCATTTCAAAAAACAATTGTCGTGGCTGTGTGGTGAGTAACTCACGAACGAAAAGAGATGAAAATCTGCAGTTTTCAACAGTGTGTAGGCAAAAGGTAACCAAACATTTTCATAAATACTTACAGATCATAACTAGTCAGAATCAATCCCAGTTACTTCAGAATTTTAAAATATACTCTATCTTAGTCATGCAGCTGAGATTTCAGAAAAAAACATTTGCTTACTTTCAGAGATTTCTGGAAAATCTTTTAAAAACTACGGTTATTGGTTTTTAAAAACGTTGTTCAAATTCATCTTATACGATAGATAAATTGGAGTATATGTTCAAATTCTGGACTAGTTTGTATTTGTTTTGCAAGTGACTCTGCATACGGCACTGGTCAATAAATTCAGATCAATAAGTCGCTGAGTACAAGACCAAAATGTGAGCACAAAATTATCCACTCACCTACATTGTAAAACTTGTTGCGTCTCCCATTCCAACAAACTAAAAGCAAACCAAATCCTTGGGTTACACGATAATAATGTTCAGAGTGCTGACAGCATTTTATGCCAGTTTTCATTGTTTATTTCAAATGAGTTTTTTGTCGAAAAACAGTAAAAATTCCAATGATCAAAATTTTCAAAATTTAATTTCACTTTCATGTTCAAGTTGTTTGGAAGCGCGGAAAGTTTTAGAAACAACAAATTACAGATTTTATTTCGCAAAACCAAACAATAAATAGCAGAGCCATATCAAATAAAACATATCTTCCTTTCCCTTTTATTGTGCATATCCTCTACGTTACTCTTTCCTATCTGATACAATGAAAACAAAAACCAGACGAAAAGTAGTTTGTTCCCTTTTTAAAACTTTGATTTAAAGGACTCATACCTTAAAATTTCAACCCATACTTTTAAAAGGCTGAAAAAGTAGCTAAAATATAAATTTTAGCGTGTGGGTTTTTGAAAAGCCGTAGAAAACCGTTTTATCAAAAGTTTGGAAGTCACACCAACTATATTCAGTTTTTAAAGCTCTATCTAAACATGTCCTCAAAAATGTTCCAGCTAGCTTTTGAACGCGCCGAGTGCAGTTTTGAAAAAGTTGGATTTCATACATTAAAAGGACCCCGCCGGAAAAGACCGCAAATCTGCCACCCTCTTGAAAGAAAACTATTATGGTTGGGTAGAAGATTATTAGGCACATCCGAATCTGTTATCGATTCTCTAAAATTGCTTGTCGTTGGATGCAAAATCAACTTTTTCTCATATAGTCTCCAGTGTGGAGTGATTTCGATTAAAAATGTTATAACTCAGCAACGAAAGTAGATATCGGAAAACGCTTTCCAACAATAAACTCCCCATCAAATTATACACAAATTCATCTTTCTATATCCATAATAAACTTAAGTTTTGTTCATTGAAAACAAGAAATAGTGTGTCCGACCAGAGATATTGTAGCAAGTTCGATCAGAGGTGAAAAACTCGGTATCGACGGATAGGCTCAATCCATATAAAATCCACCACCATTTACATCGATCTTTGACGTCAGTAACCAGACCTGCGCGTGTCTGTGCGTTTCATGTCGCCACTCAAGAAATATATCTGCGCCTTCGCATGTGATTTCATCTACAAATCGAGTGAGTGTTTCATAATTATTTCTATTACTCTCAGTTATTTGTCTAATTACCAAATCAGCGGGGTTCTCTGCTTGAATATTGAAACTATATTCACATTTTCTGCCAATTCGATTCTGACTACAATTGCAAATAATTGCTTCAGGTGCATGGCTGTTTTCATCATAATTCAAATAAACAGTATATTGTTCGATTAGATGAAAAGGAATTAACCAATCGATTAAATTTTCACTTGTCACGTTCAGATTCTTGAGCTTGTCGAAAGTCCATGGATCACCATCCTGGCATGATTTCATCGTATCATTTACTATGATTGAACGACAATAACGACGAGATCCACTCATGAAACATTCAATATCGGTTGAATCTTTCGAGTAAAGTATCCAGGCATGATTATCCGCTCCTATGGACCATATCAGTAAACTGTAAATTAGTATAATCCAAATTTGAGAAGTTTTCATTCTTCTATTTTTAAATTCAGACTGTTTTATCTCATTCTATATTTGCCATATATTTAATTCTAATAAATGAATGAGTGAGAATAAATGAATGAGAAAATTCTTTATTCTATCATCATCACATTCTCTTCATGTATTTGCATAAAGAATGAGCACGTACAACTGTTTTTCTTTTGCACACATTGAGCTTGATCATGGTTTGGTTGAAAAAGAGTGAGGGTCGCCACTCATGGAATATATCTGCACCTTTGCATGTGATTTCATCTACAAATCGTGTGACTGTTTCATAATTATTTGTATTACTGTCAGTTGTTTGTCTAGTTACCAAATCACCGGGGTGAGGGTTGATATATTGAATATAGAAGATATCTAATGATTTTCTTGCGAGAAAATTCTTTTTTCTATCATCATTCTCTCCATGTATTTGCATAAACAATGAGCACGTACAAGTGTTTTCCTTATGCACACATTGAGCTTGATCATGATTTGGTTGAAAGAGGAAAAC